GCGCCACATACATAACCGTATCTCGATGCTCATCATCGACCCTCTTGAACCAAACATCAACGGCACGTGATGGATCAATCTGAGTAGAAAAATTCACTTTGTTGTTTAGACTTATTCTTTTGAAAAGAACTAATCGTAAGTGAAATCAGATCGAGAGTAATTCGAGCCACCTATCTTAGCATTTACTTACAAATATTCAATAGCGACAAAAACATCATTGAGACGAAATTTGAATTTTATGCACGCCAATAAAACAAAAAAAACTCAAAAAACAAAGGCAGACTAAGAGCTATGAGCAGAGAACATGGCTCTACCTTGAAAATGGCACACAACTCATGAAGTAACATCCAAGCCATTGTCGACTTATCAACCTCATCAACCTTCTTCCACAGAACATTCACGATCCGTTCCGTAAGATTCCCGTCTTTTGCTTCATTCATCAACGCACGCAATAATGCGCGTCTAAACGACAAAAATTCTTATTCTTACAGTTCACTTTGCACTCTTACAAATATCACTACAATACCATCCTAATTTATGATATATATTCGCTTCGATGATGTACGATCATTTTCACGACTTTATAAATGATCACCTTATATGCAGTGATTATGACAAATTCATTTCTATCTATTCTATCAAAACACTACGATTTATTTCATTATTCTGAAATACTTCCTCTAAAATTACCGCTCTGAATTTCGACTGGAAAATTACTTTAAAAAAAGCCATTCACTTGGTGCCGATAAACACTACTGTTGTTATTCGGAATAAGCACACTCCATAACAAATAAGCACTTCAACAAATTAACTCACTGATAATCAAGATTTTGCTCGACAGCAGCCAAAAGTCGCCATGCAAGATCATTGCTATTGGTTGCGATTGGCTGAATCATTGTTTCCTGAAAATGAAGCATATTTTTATCGTACATTCTTTACTTAATCTATGAATGAAGCTAGTAAATTTCAAGCATGAATGAAATGAACCAATGAACACGACAAACACGAACGAACATTAATAAGTCTCGATGCAAGTTGAACAACAGACTGTTCTCGATCCACCACCAACGGCATCACTGAACACAACCACGATGTCTCGAGCAATTCCGAAAGCTCAGCACGATTCCCACTCATCGATAACAGCAAATGAGTTAACGATTCGGCTGACTGTTTACGAACTGACAGAGCTGTATCGTGACTGCCTTGCTGAAAACAACCAATATTTACCTCATGTTCACCACTCATTCATAACCGTTAAAATAACGACATGCAATGGCTCCATCTCGAAAATAAAATTATTTACCATATAAATTTGATCAACATTAAATTCAACGAATAATGCAAATTTTCAAACGAACAATATTAATGGTGAAAAAGTAACCTTGATAGCATTGACCGCGAGGTTGATAAGAGTTCTATCATTCAAACATGTACAGTAGGCTTCAACTGATTGCATGGCTGCTTTACGCACCGATACCTTCAATTAATGGATGATCATTGTCCAAATGAACAGTTAAAGGTACATAAGAGACGAACCATAAAAACGAAACATACCCTCGAATCATTACACCGAACGAGTAACATTTCCAACAGCGGTGAATCTGCACACGACTCCTCTCGCACACCCACTCTATTCTCCTGACTCTCTTCTTCGCCTAGATTCAGCTTTGCCTGAAATCATTCCACTGTATTTCAAATTTGCAAACTGCAAAGAGCCACTTCAAGATTTTGCAATTTTCTTATCATTCTCATCATAAAAACTGCACAAGAAGCTATATGAATCGCTACTGATAGATTATGACAAGTAAGCTCTCTGAACACGAACGATTTCATTCACATTTTGTGAATCAAAATGCGCCGACACGAACAGCTCCAATGTGCACAAAACTGCTATGAACATTTAAAAATACCCGGATGATTGAATGAACACACCATTTCAGTGGAGATATCGGACAAGAATGCACGCATCCGATCATTCTTCAACACATCGATCATCTGTACGATTGCACGAGAACGCACCATAGACGACTTATCATTGCAAGAGCGTACCATCACTGTCACCAGCGCCACCAATGGATTTTGTCTTTCGACCGGCGACCCCCTCAAACAATTATTGTTCGTTTCAGTTGGTTTAAACGTTTCATCGACAGATTAATAACTGAAACGAACGAAGCGATGGAGAATCGCATAAGAGTGAAATGTTTTCGAAGAAAGTAACCAACTTTTTTGGGCGTTTCCTCTTCTTTTTCTTTTGATTTACACTTCCATCATCATCTTCTCTGTCCTGAAGTAACGTTAAAGAATCACACGTGACATTGAAGCAATCATATGGCACGAAATTGGCGACATTAATTCATTTCTGAATGTCAATCATTTCAAATTCGTCGGTCACTACTTGGGCGCTGCGGAATGTGATTATGGCGAACTGGCAAGTGCCTGATGAGAACATCGAGTGTCTCACAGAGTATTGTGATGATAAAATCAACATCTCTTGACAAAACACAAACTCACATTTGCATTCTCTTCTCCTGGTTCAGTTTTCACCACAATATTGCCATGACCATTGGTGGTGTTCTGTTGTGTCGATGGGTCGGGAGACGAGAAATCTGAAGCTTTGACATCATTTGTTTTTTTAGACAATCAAACATTTCATATTGTGAAACTGTCGAACAGCAGAATAATCCATGAGCAAAATATTCCACTCAAGTGAAAAGTTGTAAACTTTTCAGATAGTGTGAATGTTAGCAACTGAACACAAAATTTGTTCCATATCATTAAAGCACTCAAAAACATTGTTCTCATCCATTGCAGAAGGAAAGAAGTTGAAACGGTTCGCGTTGAAAAGATGAACGTAAAGTTTGAAACTAAAAAAGACGTACCAAAATTGAGTAGTAAAAGTGGAATCATTTCGACCGCAAAACCACGCCATGCACCTCGATCGACCGAACCGAATACGCGAATAAAGTGCGCAAAATCCTAAACGGAATACAAATAAGTTCCATGAGGACAACACTGAAGCATCAAGAAAGAACTCTGCAAAAAACAAATATGGATTGAGAAAAGTGACCAACTGAAATCAACGAATATCGCATAAAGTTTTATTCGAGCATGCGGCTCGAGTAGACAAATGGATCGATCGGTTGATAGCGCGCGTTAAAAAAAATTAACAAATTAGCAAAAAGTCTCACGTAATGGTATTTGAGAGGCATGAGCGCGAGGATCTCACACACTGTTGATGCCACTTTCGTGCGATAATCACTTCTGTCTGGACAACGATGACACACATTCTCGAGAACACGTTGAATAACCGATAGCTCGTCTTCATCACCTTTCTGCAACAATTGCATCAATGTCAGTGAATCAACGCCGTTTAGCACAACAACAAATCAAGTATCACTTCTCTATTTCACATACTGATATTGAGAAATTAACAATATGTCGAAATTGAATTATTTGAATCAGCGATTAACATTTCAAACAATAACATCGATGACCCTTGCGCCTCACTTTCATAAATGATAAGCATACAGCAACAAATAGAAGGCATTCGTGAACAGACAAAATACAAAAAAAANAAAAAAAATGATAAGAGCAAAACGAAATAAGGCAAGTAAGTATCAATTACCTCAATTCGGAATTTGATGAATCGTATCATTGCGTCTTTATAATCGTTCATCAATTTCGTTGGATGCGCACTCGCCGGAAGTGTCGTATTTTCGAATGTCCAAAAGACAAGTCGTGGCATCACAATGTGTCCAAGCAGTACGGAACAGCTCGAGTGCCTCGGCTCTATTAAACGATGCATCAGTGCAAACGATCGTTCCGAGAAACGACGCAGTGACTGCAATCAATTCATCAATACTCATCTCATTAACATCAACTAATTAATGTTACCATTTTATACACGACAATATACCCAAATACTAAGTTCCGACAGTCAGCGATACTCATTCAATCCTTCAGAAACCATCAAAGAAAATGCTCAATATGGAAACGAACCTGAAATTCAGAAAGTCGACGACACGGACTCGCCGCAACGGAGATATTGGACGAGAAATCGATAGTCATCAGATCTCGAATCAACAATGCACTGCCCAACACAGCTTCAGGAGAGGCCGATAATGACACTGTAACACAGAACAATAACTATCAATCAGATTCACTGTTAAATGATACTGGCCGTCTCATTCAGATATGTGCTCGAAATGCAGAAGAAACACGCCAAAATTTTCAACGCAACTCAAAAAGATTACCTAATCAGTGTTACTTCCCTCGCTTTTATACTAATGAAAGATATAAAGTAGAAATATTCCAGTTGAAATATTGCAACTTACCTTCATCAAGAAGAGCGAATAATGAATCGAGTGCATCGAAGAGCATCTCAGTAACTTCACGTTTACTTTCTCCACTCAAGTGAACAATTGCTAAAAATAATTAACTGAATGAATAAATCATCTTCTTACATAAATATAATGTTTACCACCAACGAAATGTTTTTAATAATTTATGTCCATTCCTGATAAACGAAAATTCCGCACTGTTCTTCACTATACGAATCATGTTTCTTCGTTTCAATTTCACATATTCCGTTTCGTCCACTCAACAATTTTTCCCAATGGGCATTGATCAAATCTTGAAACGATAAATTCTATCCAACAAATTGATATTCACTTATATTGTCTTCTACACACAATAATCGCAATTATTCCAACCTCACATGAACATGCTCATTTCTTCCTTTAATCCACTGAAGCAAAAGCTAATAAAAACTCATTCAATAGTGTCGTAAAACAAAAGAGTTCATGCAACTGTATCGATGAAGACCACAGAAAACGAACTTGAATTTTGTAATGCCGATAAGCTATCATCAGTTCTCTTCCTCTTAGCGGCACCAGAGGCTTTACCTTGACGACTTCGGTTACCTTCATTTCGAACACCATCATAAGTTAGAAGACGATATGCTGTACGCAATATTTCTAATACTTTCTGAAAGATTATTAATCATAATTGAGCGTCTTAATGGAGCATCTGATATTGACCAAACGTTTTTATGTAATTAATCTATTGCAAGGATATAAGCAAAAAACGATTGAGACCTGATATAAAGCAGCGTTGAATATATTGAACGCTTGCGAGGCACTCAGTGAACACAATGCCAAATAAGCACCAGCCGCACACAACCCTATCTTCTGCTCTTCCAATGCGCTGAATTTTTTTATCAGTTGCAGTATTATTTGCAATATTATCAAATCTTCAGTTAAAAGTAATGTGCAATAGAAATATTGAAACAGAAGCTTTGAATACTAACGAGTTTTGGATTAAAGCTCGCTCGATCAAGTACCACAAGAAAACGACCAGCTTTTGTGCATTCATATTCCTCTTCGATAATTCTTCCCATATTTCAGTACTGTTTTCACCAGCTGACTTTTCGAATCGTAATAACGCACCCGACACTTTAAATTTGATCAATCATATGGTATGATTTGAAATTCAATGAAATGGTTGAATGAATAAAACAGCATCGAGAATGCTTAAGTCACATACAAAATAACGACATTCGTATCATAGTTTTAAGGAAATTTTACACTTGAAAAGTTTTATGCAATATTTTTCCAACAGATGACTCGCACAGTATTGAAATCCGATGGATTAATTCAACAGCGAAGTGCAAAATCGAATTATTCACAAATATGCTCACATCTGATTAGAAGCGCTACTACATCAATATTTCCCAATATCGAAAGACGAACGAATTGTGAAAATTGTTCGAACTCGGTGAAATTTGACTCGAAACTGAAATAAACCAAATATGACGACTCTGATAATTGATACTGTCAAAAATATAACTGCATTCTGCTATGTGCAATTTTGAACAACTAAACGTTCGAAGATTCATATCAGAAGCTTCTCTGAATAAGTGCGTTCGGACACACCGTATAAAATTTAAACCTATTAACCCGAACAGAACGCCGGTATTTTTGTAGTTTACCCACTATAAGTTAAGTATCAAATTAACGAATGACAATAAAAAATCCACTTAATTCCAGCGAAATAATGTCAAATGGAAATTCAACGTAGTCAAAAATAATCACCAAATTTTCATCCATTCATCACTGATTTCCACGAAAACACTTTCAAATTCTTCGAGAACATTGAACAAGTCATCACGTGCTTCTAATGACATTGTTCTGAACTCAGAACAATTACTGCAAATATTAACTGGTAACATTAAACAATATATTTGAGGCGTAAATTTTGCACGCACAAACGGACACCAACCACATTCTAAAAATCGCCTTTAATTTGCACGCATTGAAATCATTCACTACTTCTAGCTTCTATTCCGATCGGAACCATTTCTCAAACCGAAAAATGCCTACAGAATCAATTTATGAAGAGACTGAATTTCAGTTTCACTCACTATGTGATTGGATAAAATAATAAGCGCCTGTCGAAATTTAATTTTTGAAAAATGGATACAATCAAAGGGCACAACTCGTTGTTCCTATAGCAAAATTACACCGTTCTGCTTGCTCAGAAGAGTTTCTACAATGAAGCAGATGACAGATATCATGAAGATGTGACTAGAAACGTTTCTGAATTTTAATTGAGAAGTCAATGAACTCGTCCAGATAGTATTTGAAATTTTCAGCCAAGCGATGGGGACACCTGAAACACTCTTCGTATGGTGCAAGCTGTTTGATCTTTGCGGTACGGCAATAAGCGATTTTTTTTTATAAGTCTGAGCGTTCTCGATTTTCATGGATTCAATTTTTTGTGCACCAACGAAACGAACGAACGATATTATCACAGAGACACACACTTCAACAAAAAATCTACAGTAACTCGATTATTTCATCAGCTGTACAAGCTGCTCAATAATCTCGGACAAACTGTCCTTACGATGAAATGAATCGATCATCGAATCGCATCAAAAACATTCCAAAACAGAAAAAATTGATTTAGAAAAAAGAAATTTAGCATAAAGCAAAGTCGAATATTTGAATGCAAACGTTTACCGCCCTATGAGATGCTTTGAGAGGAGATTGCGAAAAGCGTTAGTGCGGCCGAGAGAAAGGGTAAGAACATGCACACAAGCAGTCGGAATTGCGATTAACTGCACTGCGTAAGACAGGAATGAATGCTCATAATTTGTAAACCATAAGGGATGTAAACCAAGCAAGACCGCATAAGAATCCAGTTCTATTCGAGTATTCCGCAAACGCTTGTTCGGAAGTTATCGCTTAAAACTGTCCACATTCAGCACAAGTAATCAAGCTCATGAACATAACATAAGCTTACAGTACTATTTGACAGCAAATTNCGCAACGATTTTTTGACTTGTTCGAAATTTTTTGACTTATTCTTCTCTCAAATTCATCTGAATATTTTCATGAGCATCCAAAAAATTTCAAAAAGCAAATAAATCTGCATTATATTTCAATGACATGACGGCATTTGTGAATGATAAGAGTGTGGTATTATCAAGTGCAAATTGCACTGTCTAGTTTTAATGAGTCGCCTAGCATTTGGGGCATCATTCAGTCGAGATTAACCATGAAAACGTATTTATTCAGCTTTTCAGCTGGCCCACCTAATGCACATCATATCGAGTTGATGGTATCGTACATTCAGCCCTTTGTTTGGCTGACTTCATTGCATTTCATAATTTTTGATGGTGTTCATAATCAAAACATCTACGTATACAGCATTGGAACGTAACTTTGCTTCACGAAAAGATTCTTCAACGCGCTTTTTGTTTCGATTCAGTAGGGCGTCTTACTATTCAGAAAGATTTGCCGGTGTTGTTACATTGCCATTCGAGTGATGCAAACAGTTCCGTAACCTGAAGTTGTTATGCGTGAGATTAGGTGTCATCAGAGAGTTCGTTCGGTATTGCATTTCGTTTTATTGTGTCCGTATTGGCATAAGTTAATTTACTGCATCATACCAAACTTTAAGCGGTGCAGTAAATGTAAGTGGTGTCAAATTTTTGCTAGACGGCATAGCGATAGGATTGGACTGGTTTTCGGGAGTAAAACGCAGTACTGTAGGAAAAGTTCTGCCGCAACAACGTTACCGTATACCATCAGTTGAATGCATTTCAAATTTTGTCTTGGCGATTATTTCAGATAATTNGTCTCGTTGAAACCAGTTGACTTAATGATCATTTTTGGTACTGTGTGCGTTCATTTGGTTTCGTCGTAAGTCGGTGGAGGGTAACAGAAAAAATATGATTCCAGATTAAGATTCTGCATGTGTTATTGGATATGAATGACATATTCGTCATATTGCGTGAGGGTGAAGTGTTCAACTTTTTAATGCACTGAAATTCATAGGGTTTGGCCATTTTTCGGGTTTTTACAGTGATTTGTCAACACATTGTATGTACAAATCAAAAAAGAAGAAGTTCCACTTCAGATTCTATGCACAAAATTGTCCCACAAAACGATGTTACCATTTCTGGGTTTTTTCGTTAAATATTGTAATTATTGCTTGTTTTGATGGTCGTTTAATGAAAACAATCCCAAAATGTCACACTCAAATACGTTTCATTCTTCATCGGGAGTTGTTGTGTTTTTGCGTTGAGAGTTTGTCGTGAAACTTTTACTTTACACTTTTTATCACACTGTTAAGAGAGGAGCAATAATATTACGATAGAGGAAATGCTTTGGACATTCTTTAACATCTATTCACGCGACATCTGCAATTAAGAACGTTCTCCCTCTGAGCGATTCACCTGTTCCATGCTTTTTTCTCAACTGCCT